AATAAGGAATACTATTGCAGAGTTAGACCAAAAGGTTTGTGTTTTCCTGAAGGGGAAATCATTCTGATACTTCCCCATGTCTTATACTAGAGCCTAGCCGTGTTGCCCACTTTTTCTAGAATGTTTAGATCCTTATCCACGTCCTGTCATCTTTAGAGGCATGGCTAACATTAAATGCAAGAAAAGGTTTAGCAATTGCTAATTTATTTTTGTAACATTGGAAATAAATGGTAGCAAAGACAGAATAGAGGGGACAGAGAGGAGGGGACAGTCTGTGAATTCATGCACTCAACACTGGTGCTGCTATCTGCAGCAGGAACCAGTTTTTTCCTCCCTTCCATTCCTTTTCTAGAGACAGCTTTTCCCTTTTCTTTCCTTTCCTCCTTTTTCATCTTTCTCCTAAAATCTCTGCAAAGCAGCCCTAGAAGCCTTCACTCCACCCTTCTCAGGAATCTCAGTCTCTAACTATCTGCAGCTGGTGGAATCTGGGGCAATACCTCCAGTGCCCTTCAAAGCAACTGATGTTTGCCCTGGTGAAGACAGGAAAGGCATGATTGCCATTGTGTAGAAAGGGATTTGAAGGTCTGCCATGTACAAAAGGATGAGCCTTGTGCAGAACCAGGAGAAATGAATAAAAGTTGCAGAGTAAACCTATGCTCCATGGAAAGAAAAACTTTTTTAAATAGAACTGTCCAAAAGTGGGGTGGGCTGCTTTGGGCAGTGGTATTTCCAGGCGCTTGAGGTCTTCAAATGGTGACTCAATGGCCATTTATTCAGGATGTTGTTGGACAAATTGCTGGTATGTGCTGGACTAGATATAACCTCTGAAGGCACATTCCTGATATGAGTTGGACTAATGACCTCTGAGGTCTCTTTCTGCTCTGAGATTCTATAACCTTTTGACTCATCCTGAGTCTCCAGTTTTCTACCTGTGTCGCAATCATTGATCACAGCCCCTTGTGTAACCCTGTCCTGCCTTGGGAAGAAGTTTAGGTGCTTTCAGCCATAAACCTCCTGCTGCAAGTGACCTCAGAGATCATCCAGCACAACTCCTTCATTTTACAGATAAAGAAACTGAGGCCCAGTAAAGTCCAATGACTTTTCCAAGGTCATACAGGTAGTAAGTGGCAGAGTATATAGGTAGCAGTCCAATCCCATGTCCTGTGATTCCAAAGTCAGTGCTCTTTCCCCTGCACCTGGTCTAAAGTGATGGCAATTTACTCAAGCATCGCCTGAGCAATTCCTTCCTTGAGCGTATCATGACATAACAATTATTTTCATGTTTTATCCAGTGGGGAAAGCTCCATCATTCATAAATTAGTGAATCAGAAGCTGCCTTTGAAATAATCTAGTCCATATCCTCCATAATTTTAGACTTGAGAAAACTAAGGCCAACATACATTAACTGGTATACTACTTATTGGTGAACAAGTCAAGTCTCTAGACTCTTGGTGTGGGATTTTCTAGCAGGGACATGTTGACTTGTTCATACTCTCTTACCCAATCCCCTTGGTGACCAATTTTATATATATATGCACACACATACATACATATACATATACATATATATTTACACACACACACACACACACACACACACACACACACATACATATATATACATAAAATCCTAACTAGAGTTAGGGGCTCCATCTGAGACCATGGAACAGAGTGATCCTAACTGGCCAACCTGGAGCTCAAATCTATGATTCTGACTTTTCTTTTTTTATTACTACCTAACTACTGAATTAACCAGTACAAGACATAGCTAGTTCTACAGCAATGTCATATCCTTCTGGTTAAATACACATTGAGCTCAACTTGAAAAAATGATTATTTTAGGACGAACCAATTTGAAAAAGTACTATTCTACATTTAATATACTACTTTTTTCCCATGTCTTTTTCCCCATCTTCTCTTTAATGTTGAGGCCATGGAACCATGATGGAGTAAGAAAGTATTAGCTGGAGCTTCAGATAATCTGTGTCTTTGGGAGCTGTTCAAAGGCACTGAGTAAAGAAAAGAGACAAATGTTTAAAGAAAATACAAAAAATTTACCCACACACCAGAGCCATAACTAGGGTAGAACAACCAGGGAATTGTCCAAGAGCACCAAATTCAGAGAGTCCTGAATTTAGAAGGCAATGATAGCACTTATTACCTTTTATTAGTGTAAAAAGAACAGAATAATCAGTTAATATAGAAAGAAGTCAAATGGCAGGTTGGGTGAACTACTCTCCTGTCTCATTCTATCTCCCCCCACTATAGAGCAGTGTCCCACCATCCTCCACTCCCACTTCACCAAAGGCTGCTTGCCTTGGAAAGGATTCATGATATTTTTTCTCTAATTACAGCACTGCCATTCTTTGATGACAGATGCCCTCACCTGACAGGGTACACAGATTGCACTACTGGTGTAACTCCCTATAAGCAAATCTAACATATGAAAACTTGATTTTTGCAAAAGACATTCAAGGATATTATTCATAGTTTATGATAAGCTTCCTTTAAACAACACCAATACCTGGATGGAGCTGCCATCTTGCTGATGTGAGTGTTCTCTCCGGTAATGCATAAGATCATAGAGGTAAAAGGGACCTTACTCAGTTCATTTTATAGATGAGAAAGTTAAGACTCAAGGGAGTTAGGTGACTTGACCATAGTCACATGCGTAAAGAGAAGAGCTAGGATTTTTCCAGATCATTTGACTCCCAAACCAGATTTCCTTCCTGGACTACTCTGTCATCTATGCCTGTCCATGATTCTCTCATCCATGTCCTCCCATAAATTTGAAGCAGTGTGATGGTGGTAATGGTGGTGGGGAGTCTACCTAATCTTTGGGGCAGGGGTCAGAATCTTTGCATTCTCTTTATATTGCATGGCTGCCAATGGAGTAGATTGGCCACCCATCTGTTATGAGGTTTATTCTCACTATGGCATTCCCACCCATATTTTCCTAGCAAATATTTCTTTGATGATATCTTTTGCTTCAGTTCTCCATTTTAATTCTTTGCTTGTAGCTGTTGCCTTCCACGTGCCTCTCCATTTGCCTCTGAGTGACCTTCAACTTCAGTACATCAGAGGCAGCATGGAATAGTGTAATCAATGCTGGATTGGGAAGTGGAGGACCTGGGTTTGAATCCTGACTCAACTGTTGACCATCTGTGTGACCTTCAGCCACCTCTCTGCCCCTCAGTTCTTCCTCTGTAAAACAAGGGGGTTGGATTAGATGACCTCTATGCAATGACGTGCTGGTGAAGGTTTAATAACCAGGAAAAACTGTAAGCATGACACATTTTCTGCAGTGTTAACATTTTCTCCACCACTTTCTAAAGTTGGTTATTGTTGTTCAGTTATACCCAAGTCTTTGTGATTCCTTTTGGGGTCTTCTTGAAAAAAGATACTGGAATGATTTGCCATTTCCTTCTCCAGCTAATTTTACAGATGAGGAAACTGAGGCAAACAAGCTTAAGTGACTTGCCCAGGGTCACACAGAACTCAGGTCTTCCTGACTCCAGGCTTAGCACTCTATCCTGGACTCTAGACAACAATAAAAAAAAACCCACAACAAATCAAACCCTAATTTGTAGACTGTCGATTTCCAAAGTGTAAGTGCTTACCTTGGCAATTTAACAATGAGCAGTCAGTAAGAGCTGGCCCCATTCCACCCCTGTCAGTCAGTGAATGAGTATTAATAAGCACCTACTGTGTGCCAGGCACTTGGCTGTGCTAAGTGCTGGGAATACAAAGAAAGGCAAAAGACAGTCCTGACCCTCCAGGAACTCACAGTCTAATGGGGGAGACAGGCAAACAAATTTGTTCAGACAAGCTGTATGCAGGAAAAATGGGAAATAATTAACAGAGGGAAGGCACTAGAATTAAGAGGGGTTGGAAAGGCTTGTTGTAGAAGGGAGATTTTAGGTGGGACTTGAAGGAAGCCAGGGAAGCCTGGAGGGGGAGAGAAAGTGGGAGAGCAGTCCAGGTATGGGAAACACGTGCCTCGAAGGTCCCTTCCAACTTTGGGTCTGTGATCCTATGCTTATTAATGGAACACTACTGATCCTGAAGGGAAAAAAAAGGGAAATAAAAAGAGAAAGAAATGGGCCTTTGTTTCAGGCAAAAACTCTGAGTCATTAAAAGAATTTCATTAATTTCCAAGAAGCAGTCAGACTGGATTGCCTTTAAATAACTTCAATAGTAAGCATATTACAACAGAAAAGAGAACTGGTTCTGAAGCCAAGAGGATATAGGATCAGATCTTCCCTCTCCCTACTTACCACTTGTGTGACCTTGGGTAACTTATTGCCCAGCCTCAGTTTTCTCATCTGTAAAATGGGATGGTGGTTTGGACCAGATGGTGTTTGAGATTCCTTCTGGCCCTAATTCTATGATCCTATGAACTTAAAATAACCCTTAAGTGCTCTGCAAAGATGATTTGATTTACATGCACTGTTTCTAAAACATAGCTCTTGTAATACAGAGAAATAACCTTTAAATTTCACCAGCACTATGGTTAGATGTGTAGGTGGTGAGCCTATCTGGACAGGTGAAGAAATAGGCACAGGGAGCTTAACCAACCTGCCTGGAGTCATAAATTACGTCAGAGACAGAGATAAAAATAGAACACAAAAGTCCCTCCTCCCCGCCATGAGAAAATCTCCAGAAGGTGGCATGGAATGTGATGCAATAGAAGGCAGCTTTTTTTAAAAAAAAATATTTTGATTTGTTTTTCTTTGTAAATGTATGCAAGTTAGAAGTTGCTAAAGGCTTTCTTCCCCATTTAATTCCAGTAAGGGTTTTCTTTACAAGGTCCCATGTTTGAACCAATTGTTGAAAATTAATCATATTCTCTTGCAGCTTCCCTTATGACGTCAGGGTCCTGATGCCTAGCTCCCTCTCCCATCCCCGCCCCTGATTTCGTTTGTCCACAACTGATTTCATGTGAAGGGCGGGCCATTGCCATCTCCTCCTCCTTCTGCTTTCCCTCCTCCTCCCTTAGTGGAAGCTGCAATCGGGACCAATGAAAGCATGAAATCCTCACCCACCCAGTGACTAAGACCTGGCTATATATTTAAGAACTTTTGCAGACCTGGGCTGTAGGGTTTTATTTGCCTTGTACTCAGCCAGTCACCAACTCCCCTGATTTTGGGGGGAAGCTCCAGGCTAAAGACAGAGCTCCAGGCCCAGCAGGCAACATGTGTTATGGCAGATGTGCCCGGTGCATTGGGTACTCCCTGGTGGGCCTCGCCGTCCTGTGTATCGTCGCCAATATCTTGCTGTATTTTCCCAATGGGGAGACAAAGTATGCCAGTGAAGACCACCTGAGTCGTTTCGTCTGGTTCTTCTCAGGTATCGTAGGAGGGGGCCTTCTGGTAAGTAGAACGGAGGTCTATTTGCTTCTTTCATCTATACCTCGCTTTAGGGAGATGTTTCAAAAAGCCTGTTTTTATTCAAAGTTGTTTTCTAGAGTTCATCTCAAAAACGCCTTTCAGAAAGGAGCCTCTTAAAAAAAAAGAGGCTAAGAAGGCTGCATTGTGTGGGGTACAGGGAAGCAGAATTTGTGAGATATCCATTTACACTATCAGCTAGCTCTCCCCTGGATTACTCCTGCCTTTTCAAATCTTCAGTGTTACCTTGATACTAACCAAAGAGTTGAAACTGTCTTGGCTTTCAGGGCTAGGAAATAGGAATGTGGCCCCAACATCAAATTGCCAGCAATCTAGAATTTCCAGGACAGGATAGCATTTAACTTTTGGCCTGAGGACCTGGGAGGGGGTTGGCCAGTTCTCTCTCCTGTGTTCTTTTTGGGGTAAGATGACCACTGTTTATTCTGTTAAAGCTAAGAGACATAATTATGGGCTCTATTGCCTGGAATTGTGGAACTTCAGGATAATAAGTTAACGAGGACGGATATGAGTGGGGTGTGGTTTATAGGAAGAATCTGACAGAGCTGTGTGGGATCTTAGGTCAGTGTCTGGAGCCAAGATTGAAATGTGCTGTTTTTTCCAAGGCTGGTTGTGCATGTGTGTGTGTGTGTGTGTGTGTGTGTGTGTGTGTGTGTGTGTGTGTGTGCACGTGTGTTTTAAATTAACTGGGAAGTGTTGGAATGCCAGCTTCAGGAACTTAAAATGTTAGCTTAAGCCCTGCCATGGAAAAAATGTGACTCAGCTTGGATTCACACTTTTACTAACATACTGGGAATGGACCTTAAAAAAATTAATTTCTTACAGAAAAGTGACCTTATATGCACACGAGCTTACTGATTATTGGTTAGGTAAGGAATACATATATATATATATATATATATATATATATATATACACACTTGGGTTCAAATCCCAGCTATTCTTCTTAATTTCTGTGTTACTGTAAGCAAGTCATTTAACTTCCTCAGACCTCAGTTTTCCCATCTATAAAATGGGTGGGCTTTTGAGGCTCCTTCCCGCTGGAGATCTGTAATTCTGACAGTTGGCTAAACTAGCTTTAACTTTAAATTGACTTTTTTTTTAAACTCCATGCTTTATATTACAGTATCTGTGTTCTTGTACTTGTCTACCTCCCTGAACACAGGGAAGCAAATGGTTTTGTTTTGCCTTTCCTGGTCCCAGCTCCACCTACTAGTACCTTCCTCCTCTGAGAATTCCTTCCCTCTACTCTGTCTATATTTTACGTGACCTCATTATTTGTATGTCAGCCCTTTAGAGTAGGAGCTCCTCGAAGGCAGGCACTTTTCACCTTTGTATCTTCAGCGCTTAGCACAATGTCATGCATACAGTAATCGCTGGATAGATGCTTGTCCATTGATTGATTGATTGTTTTTATTCCCAGAGCCTGGAACATAGAAGGGACTTGATAAATGAGGGATATTTTACTGATGACTTCTTTTGTTTTTGCCACAATCATTTCCTCATATTACTTCACTCCTTCCAGCTTAGAACCCTCCCTTGTAGCAAAGAAAAACAATTCATCTTAACTAATTGACATAGTAACTGGTTCTGAAAACAATTTCCCCCAGTTTTCCACTATGAGGAAGACAGCAGGTTTCATCATCTGTTCTCCAGAACACGTTCTTCAGAACGTGCTGAATAAATATTTGCCGAATGTTAAGGAATTAAATTGACTTATAACAGTTTTTTTAAGGTGACCCATCAATTCCCTAAATATTCCCTCTATCAATCTGAAACCCAAAGTTTTAAAAACAAAAGTTAAAAAAAAATTCTTTTCACATACAACTGGGAAATAAGATATACAGGAAATGGGGAAGGGGATAAGAGAAGGGGGGGGAGAGATAGAAGGGAGGGCAGATTAGGAGAAGGGGCATTCAGAATGCATGCCATGTTGGGGTGGGGGGAGGGAAGAGAAAATTTGGAACTCAAAATCTTGTGAAAGTGAATGTTGAAAACTAAAAATAAATTAATTTAAAAAATAAAAATAAAATAAAAAAATATTTCCTATATCATATACAGGGATAGTTACTAGACCTGTGATTTTATTAGTATGGGGAACTCCCAAGTGAGGGAATTCTCTTTACTAGATACAGGTTGGCACCTTCTCTGCAATTTTATCATCTTAGAGAGAAACCTAGAACACTTAGAGGTTAAGTGACCGGGGTCACACTGTCTTATATGTCAGAGGAAGACCTTGAACTAAAGTCTTCCTGGCTCTGAGGCTGGTTCTCTATTCCCTGCCTAGAGTGCCACCATGCTGGGAATCTTAAAACCAAAATGATATTTTTCCAGTTCATAGTCACCATAGAGAATTGATAATAGAACTCTCCAAACAGTCTAGGATGTTTTAATTATTTAGCAAAAGCAATGCAGGCAGTTGTTATTTGTGAAATACTCAAGAGCTAGAGTTCCATACTCACCCATGGCTGAGTCTGTGTTTCCCAACTTTGGGGTTTGGCTCCCTTCCCAGCTCCCACCTACTCTGTTCCCTCTCCCAAAGTAGAGTGCCTTATGACATTTAACCTTATTTAAATGAATTAAGATTCATTTTCCTTAGAGAGTTTTTCCTCTCCAGAATTTCACAACATTGCATGAGCTTATTTGCGGTCCCCGCCCCCAGCAGGTCCCCAGACCACAACTGGGCAGCTCCTGACTATTCCTGGCTATTAGCAATTACAGCCCTTAGGGGCAAGGAAGAATAAAAAGTCCTTGTGTGGCATTTAAATTAACCAACAAGAGGCCTTGTGAGAAGAAACTAATATCTGATTGGCTTGTTTCCTAACTAGATGCTCCTCCCTGCTTTTGTATTTATTGGACTGGAGGAAGAAGACTGCTGTGGATGCTGCGGACATGAGAACTGCGGGAAGAGCTGTGCGGTAGGTTTTCTCTTCCTGAGCCCCACACTTTGTCCCTCTGACGGGCCGCAGGTCATTTCTAAGCCTCAGTTTCTTCCTTAGATGCTCTCCTCGGTGCTGGCGGCCCTCGTCGGAATTGCAGGATCGGGTTATTGTGTAATCATCGCAGCTCTTGGCTTAGCTGAAGGTCCCCGATGTCTTGATCGCTATGGCCAATGGAACTACACCTTTGCCCCCACCAATGGAAAGTACGTAGTGTTTTATGCATCTGGCAAAGCTCACTTTTCAGAACGCATGGAAAGAAATGTACTTTTTAGCAACCTGATGTGGAGAGCTAGGAGGGACTTTAGAGGTCTTCTGATCCAAGCACCTCGTTTTACAGTTCAGGAAACCGGGGAACTGCAAGATTAAGCGATTTGCCCAAGTACAAATAGGAAGAGTTGAGGAACAGGATTTGAACTAGGTCCTTTGAATTCAGGGCAGAGTACTTTCCACTAAATCATTCTGCTTGACCGAGTGCATTGAGTGTCAAGGATTTTCTGATTAAATGAAAGCATATTTCACCATTGTGACAGACGTTATTAGTGTTACTAGTTATTACACGAATTTAATTATATCACAGGTCAAGGTCAAAACAAAATTAGCCATGTTTAGTAAAGCTAAGATAAACAGGGGCTCTCTAAAGTCTTACCGAAGTTTTAAGCTTAAAACTTCAAAACTTCAGTAAGACTTTTGGGACATCCTGCATGTGTATACACACATATATGTGTACATACATATATACACACATATGCATATATGTATGTATATTAGACACATTCATATGTAATACTGCCTATGTGTAATCCTCAGCTTGACACAGTGGATTGAGTGCAGAGTCTGGAGTTAGGAAGACTCATCTCCCCAAGTTCAAATCCAGTCTCAGGTGCTTACTAGCTGTGTGACCCTGGGCAAGTCACTTAACCTTGTTTGCCTTAGTTTCCTCATCTGTAAAATGAGCTGGAGAAAGAAATGGTAAACCACTCCAGTATCTCTGCCAAGAAAACCCCAAATGGGGTCACAAAGAGTCGGACAAAACTGAACAATGTGGGGGCAGGTAGGTGGGCGCAGTGGATAGAGCACTGGCCTGGATTCAGGAGGACCTGAGTTCAAATCCAGCCTCAGACACAACACTTACTAGCTGTGTGACTCTGGGCAAGTCACTTAACCCCGTTGCCTAGCAAAAAAACCTCCCAAAACACACACAAAAACCTGAACAATGTGTGTAGTATACATATATATATGACATATATGTACATATACGCAAGTATACATATATTTACACATACACATATAGTTAAGTTATGGTAAATATATAAAATACACTATATAATTATATATTATTACATTACATAATAATATTTAATATTACAATATAATAATATTGTTATAAGATAGAGCTATTGTTCCTGGTCTCAGTGGCAGTGTGATTAAGGGGTTCTCATCAATATATTTTAGCACTTACATCTTGTCAGGGACACAGTGTGATATAGTAGAAAGAGCAGTGCACTTAAAGTCAAGAGTCCTGGGTTCAAATCCTCGATGTAATACTTAATAGCTACGTCTCTGAGTGAGTAACTTAACTTCTCTTATTCTTATTTTCTTCATCTGCAGAATGAGGGGTAATAATACTGATAAATATATGCTTAACAGGGCTTTAATGAGGAAAGTGATTTGTAAAACCTTTAAGTATTGTATACATGTGAGTTATTATCAAGAGAAATCAGGAAAACATCTAAGAGAATGGCATGGATGTTCAGACACAAGTTATGACTAGAGAACATTTTCCCTTTGACACAGAGTCATTCAAGGCTAGCCTTTGTCCAGTTTTCTTTAATCCTTTCTGAATTCATTTTAAAAATTTCCATCTTCTATTTTAGAGGGCTGGCGGAAGATCTCTATGAGCTCAGGAAGGTCACTGTACAGTATTTGACTCCTCCCTACCATCGCCAATTGGGCATTTGACAGCTCTTATACATACATAACAAGTTATTCTCACTGTTAGTTTATAGCCAATGCAACATAGTTGTGGACTCCAAACTAGTAGTTAGCATTTAAAGAATTGTAGTACATGACATTAAATTAGTCCCTGAAGAATAAAAATGATCTATATAGCACTATAAAGTTTGCCAAGTGTTTTACATACGTTACCTCAGTTAAGCCCGATAAGAGCTTGGTGAATGAAGGGCTCCTACAAGTATTATTAGCCTCATTTTATAGATAAAGGAACTGAACTTCAGAGAAGTGATTTACACATTGGTCACACAGTCAGGAAATGTCAAGGATAGCTTATGAACCCCCACCTCCCTGATGCCAGTTCCAATGTTCTATTGCCAACTCCATTTTTTTGAAATAACCCGCACAGTGGGTCCTGCTAATTTTTTTGTTCAGAGCAAGAGATCTATTTTATACGTGCATAACCATAAGGAACTATGCCTGTCACGAGAAAATTAAGACCATTCCAATAGGAGTGTAGAGAAGGATGACATTCTCCTTTTTGACCCTACTTGACCATGTCAAACAGTGGCTGGATGGCTTCAATAGATTTCTCTGAGCATTTTACAGATGAAGAAACTATTAAGGGACTAGCCAAACATTGAATGAGAATAAGTGGCAATGTTGGCATTTGAATTCAGGTCCTTTGACTCCAAATTCAGCTCTTTTCCCACCTGTAGCAATACTTCTCAAAGTGTGATCTGGGGACCCGAAGGGAGTCCCTGAGACCCTTTCAGCAAGCCCATGAGATCAAAGCTATTTTCATAATAATACTTTGTTTTTATTACTGGTCAGTCATGTCCAACTCTCTGTGACCCCATTTGGGGTTTCTTGGCAGACATACTGGAGTGGTTTGCCATTTCCTTCTCCAGCTCTTTTTACAGATGAAGATATTGAGGCAAACAGTGACTTGCTCAGGATGACACAGCTAATAAAACTCAGGAAGATGAGTCTTCCTGACTCCAGAGCTGGCATTCTATCCATTGCCATATCTAGCTGCCACAAAAATACTAAGACTTTTTAATTTTTAATATGGCAAATGGCAATAATTGTGCCCATGTAAATAAAAGCTCGGGGGCGAGGATGTCCCCAGTAATTTTTAAGAAAGTAAAGATGTTCTAGGACCAAAAAATTTGAGAACCACTACACTACGCCATGTTGTCTCTTAAGCAGAAACCTACATGAACCAGTGACTCTAACTAGCTAGGCCTTTATACAAACAGATCACAAATGACCTAGGCCTACATTTAGTTGAATTGTTGGGCTAAAAGTTGAGTGGTTCTAAAACTTATTTGTCACCATGCATAGAGATACATTCACAACACATACCAATGATTTATATGGGAGAATCTAAGCTTATAACATTGTTATGGACACTAAGCAACCTTCTGATTTTATAGATGTGTATATATGCATGTGTGCAGACATATAGTCGTCTATATGTATATATGTGTGTGTATATCTGCATACATATGTGGAGAGAGAGAGAGAGAAAGGGAGGAGAGAGAAGAGAGAAATGGAGAGAAATAGGAAAAGAGAGAAGAAGAAAGAGAAATAGAGGTAAGAGAAAGAGAAACAGAGACAGAGAGTATTTAGCATTTTAAGATTTGCAAAGCTCTTTACATTTAACGCAAATGATCCTAACAATAACCCTGGGAGGCAGGTGCTGTTATTATCTCCATTTTACAGATGAGGAAACTGAGGCAGGATTTAAATTTAACTTTTCCTGGCTCTAGCCTTCCATTCTACCCATAAAGCCACCTAGCTGCCTTTTTAAAAAAATTTTAGATAAAGCGTTGTTTTTATTTGTGTCAGACTCATCATGCCTTATCCACATCAAAATTTAAATCATAGCCTGCTTGCCCCAAGCTCTCAGTATTCTCTTGGTCTGCTGCTTTCACTGATACCCACTAGTATATATTCAGGAAATAGGGACTGGTTTTAATATAACTCTAAGAAAAACACCATCTGAATCTTTTTTTTTTTTACAGCAGAAGCCCTCATATTGCTATTTGGTCTCTGTGTTGATCATAGGACCATAGACCTAGGGTTGGACAGGATCTCAAAGGCCATCCAATGCTACCCCCTCAGTCTACATAGAAGGAAATGAAAGCCCAGAAAGGTTAAGTGACTTGTGTGAATTCATTCAAGTCGCAAGTTTTAGACGAGGAGGCTTGAGCCCAGGTCCTATGACTCCCTCACCTTGGGAGCCACACTTTAGCCCCTTAATCTTGGTGTTGCACTAAGTATGCAGCAATGTCTTTTAGTTTTAACATTTTTATTTAATCCCCAAATGAGATTTAAGACAAATTATAATGAAGACAAATTATAATGAAGACAATCATGATGAACGTGATAAATAGCTGTCGGGCTATTTTTGAGTCCTTCATATTATGCATACAATAATAATTATTATCACATGTTAATATAATATTATATGTTGATATTAACATTATTATATCAACATATCATATAATTTAATGTAATATAATATTCTTTATATTATTAAAATAGAAATTGTATCCTTCTTTTGTTTTTAGATCATCTTCATTTCTGAATATATTCCTTTCCCCTCGTAACAAAGAATTTAAAAAGGAATAAAAATTAATTCAGTACAACTAGCCAACACACCAACATTGTCTGACAGGGTTTGTAGTATTTCCAACCCACAGTGCCCAACCTCTGCAAGGAAAGGAGGGAGGTGCATTTTCTCATCTCTTCTTTGGGACCAAGCTTGGTTATTATTATCTCGTATATGTTTGCTATGTTAGAGAGAATATTCACTGTTCTTCTGAAGAAAGGAATGATTGGGATCATAGATTTAGATCTGAAAGGGATCGAGAGCGCCTCCATGTCAATTCTTTCCTCCTCCCATTTTACAGATAAGGAAACTGAGGTCCAGTGGAGTTGACTTATCCAAGGTCACAAAAGTAACAAGTATCTGAGTTGGTTATATCAACACCCGGTCCCCAGACTTTAAGTACAGCACCTTTGGAATGCTGGACTTTGGGGGTTACAAATTCAGCTTTTTAAATCCATCCCAGGAATATCGGTGGTCTTAACATCATTATTTTATAGAATGGCCAAGTGCCTACATCAGAGGCTTCGATATTTCTGGTTGAAAAGGAAAGAAGTCTTTCCATGCATCACATAATAGGACTAATCGATTCTACTCTTACCAACGACAGTTACCTTACTGATCCCTCCCAATGGTCCAAGTGCATCGAACCCAAGAATATTGTGCAATGGAATGTGACCCTGTTTTCCATCCTCTTGGCACTTGGAGCAATCGAATTCATCTTGTGTCTCATCCAGATAATAAATGGCATACTTGGAGGCATATGTGGTTTTTGCTGTCCCCATCAACAGGTAAGAGGCTCCGTGCTAATAATCCCTCTTTGGGCCAGAGTGTTGTCCAGTTATTGCAATGTAATACAGTTTTGTTATTGGAGAAACAGAAGCAAACAAATAATATTATCAACTTCCTGGGTCTGGTTCCTCTGTAATAAAACTAATTACAACAACAAAAATAAATAAGAAGAATAAGAATATGTAAATAGCATTTATATACATTGCCAAATAAGAGAATCAATGCGAAACACTTTGCTAATCTTCAAGTTTATATAAGTGTGAGCTGTTATCAGTAGTATCTTATTTGTTCTTAAGTGAATTTGTCTTAAAAATTTGATTTGGGAGAACCATTCCCATTACTATCCCTAGAACATGGTTTATGATGCTTTCTCTGGTGCTAGAATTACTAGATATAACGCTGCCCCTAAAAGTCCCATTTACTCTGTGAGCTTAAGTCTTTGCAGGGGGCAAAATCTTCATCAGAACACAGTGCCTGCAAGGCACGGCCTTCCCCTACCAACCTGTATCTACCAACACTTTGAATTTACTTAGTACAGCTAATGAGACACAAATAGATATAAGGTATAGTAGGCTTCAGGGTACCTTTCACTCTGTAGTGGGAAGAAGGCCATGTAGAGAATACAAGAACCAAGGACACCTGGGCCACCAGAGAGCCCCTGTATGTGAGGGGTGTGCTCAACATGGTACATCTGGCTGTGCTAGGCTCATAACAAAGCCCCTCTATGAAAACCAGGAAGCACATGTTTCCTGAGGATATGGTTAAGGGGACAAATACCCAACCATTCAGTTCAGAAAAAAACTATCTGCAATCTCCCTGCCCTCTTGCATAATGTTGCTCTGTTGGCCTGGGTCGGTGTCCAAATTCAATCCAGCAAACGTGGTTTAATGTTCAGTTTGGAGATTTGTTTTCCTTCTGTTGACTTTATAATCTGGGTAACAGGATTAGGTAAATAGCAGATCTCTCCCCTGGAGAAGCTTAGGTTCTTTTAAATCCAGCTGAAGGTCTGGCCTTAAGACAAAGAGGTTTCTCTTTTATGGAGTTCCTTCTTTCTTTAAAAAGTAGATCAAACTGCAAACCTAAAAGCCCACCCTTGCCACAAAATTCAACCCTTACTAGGAATAAGAGAAAAGCATTCCCACAAATGAGAACATGAGAACAAAATTTGGTTGCAGAGGGGGCAAGAGTCTGATTTCCTCAAGGGCAAGTTTTCTAGGAGTATAAACTAAGAATATATAAGTATTTATATTATATATACTTATAAGTATATATACACACACACACACACACACATATATACACATATAAGTATAAGAAAGAATATAAATTGAGAAAGGATACTTGGATCTTTGGTGTTGGCTAAATTTGGAGAAATTCATTGCCAAGTCTAGCACCAAGTGATGAATTCTTTTGGTTACAGCCTTTTAAGAAGACTATGTACTCAAAGGTCTCCAAGAGTGACAACCTTCATCCATGAAAACATGGGTCTTTCGAAGCTTTGAAATAATTAATCAATCAGCAGTATTTATTAAATATCTAATGTGTGCCAGGCACTATATTTGGTTCTAAAGATGCGAAGACAAAATGAAAACAGTCCTGGCCCCTCAGCTTATGTGGGGAGGGGTGCAAAGGTGGGGTAACATGTACATATATAGAAATATATAAAAGAGATATAAGCTAGGTTTTTTTATGAGGAGCAGGGAGGGAAACACAGGGAGCTGGGGGTATCAGGAAAGGCTCCCCATAGAAAGTGACATGAACAGTTATAATTAAGTTGACGGATTTGAAGCTAAGAAGACTTGAGTTCAAACACCAGCTCTGCCACTAATTTGTGGCCTTGGGCAAATGATAACCTTTTTGGACCCCAGTTTCCTCATCTGTAAAATGCTAAAGTTATGTTGGGTGCCTTCTGAGATCCATTCCAACCCTACATCTACAAAAGAGCAATTCTCACATGGGTGAGAGAATGCCTATTGGCCGAGAGGTTTACATCCGTGGTTCCCTCTCCAATGGCCAGCCCATTGAACAGACCTAGGATTTTGGAAATGTTCTCTCTTTTCTTATGAAATCTTTTGATTATAGATTCATCATACATTTGAAAGAGAACACTAGCTCACACACACAAGCACATCAGTAACTTTCCATTCCTGTGGGCCTTTTTTGTTTTTTTGGTCATTTTCCCTCAGGACCTCTGCTTGGTTATGAAACATTTAATAAATATTTTTTTAAGCCTTAGGCATTGTTTACAGGGAATCTTGCTTTAAACTTGGTGGCTGGTTATTTCCTTTTTGCAACTGTCCTGTAGCATGAGAAGACATTTTATAGGTCTAATTTGGGTAGTAACTCCAGGCCATCTGTGATTTCATTGATACGGCTACTTTCTTTGCTTAGCAGTTAGTCTTTGAGAGTATCCTTGGCTGAGAATTCATCACTCTCATGAAGGATAGCCCTCTTTGAACTCAGATAGGTTGATCCTTGGACCATAGAAATATAGCCCATCACCAGTCCCATACTTGACTTTTTTCGAGTGGAGATCATGTTCTGCTAGCTGACATGGCCTTTACCATGGGTCACCTCCATGCCATGATGAGACCTCAGAGTAGGGTTTCTAATGGCAGCCTTATAGAGATAGGGACCGGATCTGGGATTCCATGAATGTAGGGCACTCCAGAGTAAGATAACTTCCTCTTCCAATGCAGATCAGTACCTTCTCTACAAATCATAGTCTTAGAGGGTACATTAGACCACTTAGAAGTTAAATGATTTGCCAAGGGCTTCAGAGCCAGTATGTGTCCAGAGAAGACTTGGACCAAAGTCTTCATGGCTTCAAGTTCAGCTCTCTACACAATATGCCACATCGTTTCTCTAATGGATAGGACAAAGTGACTTACAATGTTAAAATCTTCAGGGCTGACTCTGTTGATAATGCTGTCTGTTCTCTTTCCTTTATAGCAATATGACTGCTAGAAGAAGCACCCCAGAGGACAGACCAAAATCTTCCTGAATTTCACTGTAATTTATGTTTCATTTTTATTAATTTGTAAAACTTCATATTAGTATTTGTATCATATTTGCATATAATTTACTTTTATAAATCGGTATAGAGACTGGTATGTCTGTGCTATGGCAAGACCTGAACTTGGTGATATCAGGACTCATTCAATGCATGAGAAACTTAAACCTATTTTCTAGAGGATTTTCACTGGAATAAGTGGAGACATCTCCCTAGCATATCAGGGCACAAAATTAAGTCATACTTTAGATAAGCACCCCATGGATAGAAATGACATTCTGATGAGGACTGCACACATTTGCATGAATATTTTTTAGATAAGAGAGCATCCTGGAATGCTTTTATTTAAAAAAAAGAAGAAGGAAAGAAAACCCAGAAAGAAACCTTCTTTCACTGTTTATATGGTGTTTCCCATTTGTATAGTATTTCCAAGCATCTTCAGAAGCTCCTTTAACTCAAGTGACAGTGTGAACTGTGATGATGGGAATGCTGCACACATGCAACCTGTGAGAATTGCTTAATGAAGTTGTCCTGGGACCAATGAAAGAGGAGCTTAGTGAAGCTGTACCTCTATGGTCTCCTAGCTGTGTTTTAGCATGACACGAGGATCTGCACCAAGAAAGGAGCTTTTGCAAAGTTAAGAGAAGGCTGTGGAGAAGCCATCAAAGAAGAAAACAAAGAGGGAAACGGATTGAAGCAGTAAAAACAAAACAAAACAGTATTAATGGAGGAAGAAGGTACCCAGCCCCGTCCCCGTCTCCCCACCCCCCATGACGAACCCAAGGAAGGATATTGACCAGAGTCATGCAGGATGGCCCAGCACAGATGGGGTTAGAGTTGGGTATATGAATATTTAGAGAAAAGATGGACTGAGAGTAGGTACTGTACCAAACATCCCAAGTCTTTGTACAAAAAAAAAATAAAAAAGTGTATTTATCACATTTTAACCTGTTCCCTCCTCCACTCATAATTTTAAAACTCTCTTTTCTTTTTCTAATTGTTCCTCCTTGTCTAGGCTAAGATTCCCACACTCCCGCCCCCATTGTTGGAAAAAGGAATGGGGTTTGCATTTCTCTCCCCTCTCCTGCCTCAGTTTCTTTACTTTGTCTTCCCCATCCCCCTGCTCCCATTTCTCCAGTAGTTTCCACTGCCCCGCAGTCCCTCAGGGCTCTTACTTCTCTTCAGATTTCCTTCATTCTTCTCCTGACCAGTGTGGGAACTTTCATTTGCTGCCCAACTGCCCTCTGGGTCACGCTCCCAGGGGAATATGCCAAAAGTTTTCTATTGGAATATTTTATGTGTGCTGGGAGACAACCAGGCCCCAGCCGAAGTCTGCTTGCTGCCTCTTCAGAAGTTGTCTGTGATACTGTTTTCTCCTGGCTTGGTCAGTTCACCAAAATAATTAGAGAAGTAAGACGGAAAAGAAATGGGAGAGAGTGTAGGGAACATGCATTTATGAAGTGCCTACTATGTTCCAGGTGCTGAGCTAAGTGCTTCACAAATATCTCATTTGAAAGGAATCTCAGCTAGCCACAAGGCAATCAGATACATACATTCTGGAAATCCTGGAGTGCTTCCAGGTGTCCTGATAGGTAAGGCATATCTATAAAGCACTTGGCATATATTATGTTATTTGAACCTTAAAACTCAATAAGATACATCTTCATTTTTTAGTCCTAGAGAAGTTGTGTTGTGTCCAGATTCACCTGGCTATTAAATAAGAATTCAAACTCAGGTTTTTTACTAAGTCCAAGCCCACAATTCTCTCTCTTGCCCTAAGCTGCCTGTGGCGCCAGCATGGTATGATGAAACATTTCCCTGACGTTTAATTCAGTTCAATGCACCAGTCTTTTATTGAGTGCTAGCGATATGCTAGGCACTGGAGGTGCAAAGCCCCAAATGAAAAAGTCCCTTTCGAAAAGGAGTTTATATTTTAATGAACCATCCTTTCAGACTTACACCCAGGGATATCTCGATATAAAGATATATACACACACACTACAGATAGATAGATAGATAGATAGATAGATAGATAGATAGTGTGTGTGTGTGTGTGTGTGTGTATATATATATAATGTGTAAGTATATATTTGTATATATTACATGTGTTGTTGCTTAATCCTTTTTTAGCTATGTCTGATTCTTTGTCACCTAATTTGGGGTTTTCTTGGCAAAGATACTGGAGTTGTCATTTCCTTCTCCAACTCATTTGACAGATGAGGAAACTGAGGCAAATAAGTGACTTATCCAGGGTAACATAACTAGTAAGTGCCTGAGGCTGGATTTGAACTCTTCCTGACTCCAGGTCCAGCACTACAGCAGCTGTTCCACCTATGCATACATACATACATACATACATACATACATACACACATACATACATACATATGTACACACACATATGTATGTATGTATATATAAAATATAGTATTTGTATACACATATCCATATATATGCATATTATGTATATATATATACATACACATACATACATATACATGTTAGCCAACTGTGTTATAATCTTAAAAAAAATAGCCAGTGCTCATGATAGCAGTAGTCATCCCTAAAATCACAGCTTTGGAGCTGGAACCTGAGACATCATCTCATCTAATCCTCCCCATTTTCCAGTTGTGGAGAGAAAGGCCAGATGTGGGAGCTGATTTGCCCAGGGCCACACAGGTAGGAAGTGGTAAAGTAGGGAAAGCCCATCTTATGACTTTAGAAGCAGCCCTCTTTTTCACTGAACCCCACTGCCTTCAAAGCAACGGGAGCTCATATTTGCACAAGCCTGGAAATTGCCTATTTGCAGTTCACCTCTGTTTTAAATTCTTTGGCAGGCTCTTTCTGTCCCAAACCACTTCCCATCCCTAAACTTAAATTCTAGTGACTCAAAGTTTCCACCAGTGTGCAAATTAATTAACGATAAACAGATGCTTTCTTAGTCACACAGATTAAAGAACTTGTCTGAGAATCCCAAGGAGAAATAGCTTCCAGCTTTAGCTGTTTACTTTGCATCCCTAAACTTGACCCTGGGGGAAAAAAAAAACCCAGTCAACACAGATAAAATGGGTTGTTATTTACTGGTACCTTAAGAAAAACGTAAATATTGGTGTGGAAAAAGAGCAAAGTGCACAGTGCCAAAGGTCCTGAATTTGCAGTAGCTACTACCTTCACGGGAGCTCAGGGGCCATGTTGTCTAACTTCTTCCTTTTGCAGTTGAGGAACCTGAAACCAGGGAGTCAAAGGGACTCAGACAAAGCTGTACAGAGAATAAATAGCAAAGGTAGAGTTTGGGGGCAGATTTTCTCCCCCCTGAATTTAGCACCTCTTCTTCCATACCATTCAGTAGCCTCGTTGAGGAGTTTCCTTGAATGAAAATTGAGTGTCAGTACAGCAAAGGTCGGACAGTTTTTCTTGACAATCTTTGTATCTCCCACTGAGAAGAGCTAGTTGTTTTTGTTTGTTTGTTTGTTTGTTTGTTTGTTTGTTTTTTGTTTTTGTTTTACAGGCAGCCTGATGCCCCAGTAGGGCAGAAGTTCATTATAGCTCAAGATTTGTCTCTGCTAACAGCACTTCCAAAGACCATTCAGGCCTCTGATGACTCAAGAGCAAAATTATTTCTGGTTTGTAGGGAGCCTCATAAAATGGATGGTATATGAGGAAATCAGTGCCTTCTTGACTTGTACGTCAGTGTAGCTTACGCTGAACACTAGAGAACGATGACATCATCAGGTGAAGGGAAAGGAATGTCAGCTGAGAGAGGTTGTGACCATAGTGAAACACCCAGTCCAAAAAACCAAACCCAAACAAAAACTGTCTCTGCAGAGTGAGAGGGTAGGGCATGTTGCTGGGTTCCACTCTGTCTAGGGAATGCACAGATTCATGTCAATGAAAACAAATATGAGACACGTCCAATGAAGAAGGGAATGCCGTAAAGTCAATTTGAGTTAAGTCAACAAATATTTATTAAGTGCTTTTTATGTGCAAGGCACCTATGCTCTTAAGGTATATATTTAAAAAAGACAAAAAACAATCCTTATCCTCAAGGAGGAGACAACACAGAAACTACTAGGTGTAAATGGTAAATCTCAGAAAGAAGGCACTAGCTTGGGGTAGAGAGGGAGAGGCAGGAAAGGCATCTAGCAGAGGTGGAGAAGAACATTCCAGGCATGGGGCATAGCCAGTGAAAAAGGCCAGAGTGGGAGATAGAGTGCGAGAAACAGAGAAAAATGCTGGTGTTGTTGGGTCATAGAGTATAATTGAGAAAAGTATAATAAGACCACCCCTTTCAGTCTTCTTACACTTTTCTTTCCAAATAGAAGATATTTATTTTTTGAACCTGGAAGTAATAGGGAGCCACTGTAGTTTATGGAGTAAGAGAGTGATCTGGTCAGATCTGCTCTTTGGGAAGATCTTCTTGAGAGCTGAGTAGAAGGTACACTAGAGAGAAGAGAAACTTGAAACCAATGGGAAGAATATTGCAATAATTCGGACCTTAGATGAAGGTCTCCACAGTGTGGCCATTTCAAAGGAGAAAATGGGACATGTGAGAAAGAAACTGCCAAGTTAGAAACAACTAGATAGGGCAAAAGATGAGATATGTAGAATGAGAGAGAGTGAGAATTCAAGGATGATATTTAGGCTTCAAGTCACCATTGGGAAGATGGGGATAACAATTAGGAAGTTAAGAAGAGGGAAAGATACTTAGTTCAATTATGAATATGTTGAGTTTAAGCTGTCTCTGGGATCTCTAGTTTGAGATGTACCATAGTAGATGTAGACATGAGCCTGGAGGTCAGGAGGTAGGGTAGGGCTAGATAGGACTAAATAAATAGGTCTCAGAATTATCTGCATAGAGATTGATAGGAGTTGATGAGATAATTAAGGGAGAAGAGATGACCTGGGACAGAATTATGGTGGACATTCACTATTAGCAGGAGGATTGGAATGAATGTTCAGCAAAGAAGTAGTCAGACAGTAGAAAATAGACAGAGGAAGGAGAGAGTGATGGACAGTGTCAAAGGCTACAGAGAAGAAAGGCGAGGATTGAAATCCTCATCAAGAAAGATGAGGACTGAAAAAAAATGAGGTTTGGCAATTAAGACATCATTGGTAACTTTGGAGAAAGCCATTTCAGTTGAATGATGAAGTAGGAAGCCAGACTATAGACAGAAGAGAGTGAGGGTAAAGTAAGTAGAGATACTGATTATAGACAGCTCTTTCAAGGATTTTAGCCA